GCCAGCATGCAGACAGCTGCAGGTAAGTTGCCAAAAGGTGAGCCTAGTTTAAGAGCAAGTCAAATATTATCAAAATATGGAGTTCTTCAAGCAAATCTTCGATTCTAAATGTACAATAAAGTTCATCGAGAATTCATTTGAATACTATAAATACCTTTTTTGCGGAAAGTACAAAAAAGCTTTTATTTTATATTGTATGCAACAATTTGCATAGCTTAACAGAACTTTATGCATTTTAAGTACCCATTTAAAATTGTGGGAGGAACGCAAACGCAACCAAACAGTTCACATAGGTGAATGGCTTAAGGGAAAGCTTTATTTTATACCCTTAGATGGGGGAATATAACTATTAAGCAAAAGTTGTAACGCTTAATTTTTGAATAGAGCGAAAGGCCAAATATAATTGTTTAAACAAAAAAAAATGCTCTATTGTATACATTTTTAGTTTTTTTGCAAGCTTATAATTTATGCTTATAAATTATTCAACTATGTCCGATCGCTATTCTCATATGTGTTTGTATATTTGCTCGAAGAGCGATTTCTGCCTGGGTTTTTTTCTTGCTCATATCTTGTGCACCCTATAGGCAGCTATTCAGTCTTGTTTTTATAGAGTTGCATGAAAAGATCCATTTATCTAAGTGGAAAGTCAACTTTGGACAGCGCCAAGTAGTTGATATGTGCTAACACCCGGTTCCAGGTAATACAGCTGTACAAATACATGCAGAGCACCTTCACAAACACTCTGATATGACCCATAACACGAGCTAATACCGAGATATTCCCAATACAAACACACTGCGTGAGCGGCCCAACAGAAGCGCATTTCGAATGCCAAACGCCGCGCAGTGCGCATACGTCATGTTGTCTGGCGACGCGCGCCGCAATTAAAAACAGACTCGAAAAATTAAAAACAAAAGAGACAAAGACAAAAACACAGAGAATGAGCAATGAGCAATGAGATACAAAAGTGCAAAACAAAAAAAAATAGGTAGCAGAAAACACAAGAGTGTAAACGATATGGCAATTCCGGCAAACAACAACAAAGCCCGGCAAAGCATGACGCAGCCAGCAAAGTCGCACTTAAACATGTCAACCCAAGCGCTTGTAGGGCAGCGCAGGGCAAACAGTGTCCACTTGGCGAGCTGTCCGATTACCAGCAACGCTTCGCGTCGCGACGACGTCGTCGCCAGTTGTTTCAGTCGTTCCAGTGACGGGTTCAGGTGCGGCAGTTGCGCGCGCCAATCGTCCAGCGCTCGTTTATCGGTCAAAGGCGTCTACGTGCCACTGTGGCAACAAGCTCTCCGCATATGCTATTCGCGGCATTTGCAGCTATTTCAACAACAATTGCCGCGAGCATTGATTAACTTCATTTCGCCGCATTAGTCACATATTTGACGCACAAAGCACAACAAATTAGACTTAATTTACTTATGCGTAAGCAAAAAGTTTCTAACAGCAACAAATTAAAAGTGTATTTGTGTGTGTCGATAAACGCGCATGTGTGCGTGTGTGTCTGTGTGCGTTGTGTGTGCGAGTGAGAGTGTTTGCTTCTGTTATACAAACACTAACCGTTATAATATATATAGAGCAATCGCCCGCCCGCCCGCATCATGAAACTATTGCTAAAAGTACATTCCGAGCGCACCGCGCGCAATCGTCGCACGCCCGAGCGCACCTTCACAGCGTCGCCAGCGCCAAGTATGTAGTGTATAAGTCAGAACTAGAGCTGCACACTGCCCGCTTTCTGCTCAGTAATAAATCAATCATCATCATCGTCAACATTATCCACAGGAATCAACAGCAACAGCGGGAGCAGCAGCAGCAGCAGCAGCACGAGCAGCGACGCGGGTATCGGGGGCAAGCGCAGCCGCGGTAGCTCCAGGTCGAGGCGCCTGACCCGCAACACGCTGCTGCTGAGCGTGCTCGTCCTTTTGGTCCTTATCACCGCCATTGTCATTGTCTATGTGGAGCTGAGCCGCACGCGTGGCGAGCTGCCGAACAAGTCCATTTACTTTGGCAATACCTATGAGGATGGCACGTGTAAGTGGGCAACAAATGCGACCGCCATAGCCTATTCACATGTTATGCAGTTCCAAATCTAGGAAATGGTCATCTGGTCATCGAGCGTGTACAGTGGGGCGCCTCGGATCGCAGCAGGCAGCTGACGATGCCGCTGCAGCGGCCCATACCCTATGTGCTAATCACGCACATTGGCGTGCAGTCGATACCCTGCGTCAATCTCTACAAATGCTCCATCAAAATGCGCACCATACAGGATTCGGCGATTGCGGAGAAGAACCTACCGGATATACAGTCAAATTTTTACGTAAGCAGCCGACATGCACAATTCCCTGCACGTTCCGGCGACTAACACTTTTGGACATTTCGTTTTCCGCTTGCTGCTTACGCAAATTGTGTTGATATTTCGACCAGGTTTCCGATGAGGGCAACATTTATGTGGGTCGCGGCTGGGACTGGGCCAACACGTATGCGAATCACACACTGGCCATCACCTTTATGGGCGACTATGGCCGCTATCAGCCCACCGCCAAGCAGCTGGAGGGCGTGCAATTCCTTTTGGCCCATGCCGTGGCCAATCACAAATTGGATTTGGACTACAAGCTGGTCGCACAAAATCAGGTGAGCACTCTACACCCATTCATCCTACCTGTTTTATCCAGCAAACAGCCTTAGATACTCTATTTAGGCTATCAAAGCTTAAGAAGAGATTTGAGAAGAGAATACAAATAAGAAATTTAATCTAAGATGAAGTCTGTCCTAATTGAAGCTAAACTATTTCTTTCTTGTGCTTCTTCCTTATTATTACTATTATTATTTACTTTTTGTCTGATTCTTTAGTTTCTTAAGATATATATTACAAATATTTAAAGAATGTTGCTTATTAGCTTCAAGTTGTTTCTAAAATCTCTTGAATAGGTTCCTAAATTCCGGCCAATTACCAAGCGTTTCCTACAATATTTTCTGAATTGTGTTTGAAGTTTGTACTGACTGACTAATTCTCTTCTTTGTAGACCAAAAGCAGCAAGAGTCCCGGCATCAATGTATACCGTGAGATTAGCAAATGGCCGCACTTTTACGGCTGCAACATGGAGCAGGCGCCCAAATGTGGCAGCGAGCTGGGCATGACGGCTGCCTCCTGGAACGGTGGGCAATAACTACAGACTTTAAAAGAACTCTTAGCCTTAACACCAATACACACAACACACACACTCGCACACACACACATTACTGCATCTTACAAGTAAACCAAATAAAAAAGTCAACGTAAGTTTTCGCTTCTTGTTAAATATTCAGTTATATTTGTTCGGCCTTAAACCGGTTCGAAGGTGTGTGCCTTACAGGTGTTTTATTTATAGAGTACGTCTCCTCAATCTCAACTCAGACAAAGCTCTCTCTCTCAAACTCTCTCTGTCAGAGTCTCTCTCTTAAATCTCAAAAGCTGTATTGTTTATATTGCGCTGCGTTCGAAAGCTGGAAATTCCCAAGCGGGAAACAAAAACCTATCAGCATATACAGACGGGTTGTATGTAAGTCTATATATGTATATATATATATATATATGCATGCGGTTAGTACAACATCATTATCGACAGAACTTGTAGTCGCTTTTTTATACATACACACACACACACACGCACACACTTGCACTATATTGATGCTGTTTAAGTTGTTGTTATTGTTTTTTGTTGTGTTTGTGAGTTAATTAAAAGCTGTATATCATTTGGAACCATTAAATTTCCACTGATAACTAAAAAGCACAGAAAAAAAAAAAAACAACAAATATCAAACCATTATTGTTGGGTAAAACTCAAACTAAATAACGGAAGCCTGGAAGTTTTTACTGAGTCAGATTGAAAAGCTTTTTCAAGTGATCTGCTTGTCTGATTAACTAATGACCTATGTTAACAAATGCTCAAACACTTATCAGCGTTTCCCCTACTTCAAAATCAATGCAATGACATAGAGATTAAATCCCAATCTTAATAGGAATCAACTGATAGTTGACTTTCGGGTACAAGTGAACCTTAGCAAAGCTAACCCTAACCATTTCCTAGCTAAGAGATTGTTTAATATTTTATAGATCATCAATGCTAATTGATAAAGGTCACTTTCTTTCGCAAAAACTTTGGCTGTCTAGTCGAATATATTAAAAAACTGCTCACCAAAAACAAACAAAACAATTCGTAGAATTCTTTAGCCCACACTCCGCATAGCATCTGTCGTTGTGCATTTTTGCCGTGTGTTTGTGATTTTTTTGTTGTTTATAAGTTGTGCAAACAGCGGAGAGAAAAATACGTCTAAATATAATCAAAACGGTAGAGACCTAAGCGGGCTGGGAGAAAGAGCAAAAGCTAGCCGCAAAAAATCATTAAAATTTGAGAAATAACTTTAAAAAATTCAAAAAACCCGAAATCAAAAGCAAAGCAAACTCCCGCTAAATAACATAAGTAAGATGGAGAACAGGTTCGCACAGGAGACTCAGATCTATAATGAACAGAACCTGAGTTGGGCTCTCCAAATATTTAGGGTTTTCCTTTTGGCCAAGAACCTGTTTGAATGTGGAACAGATGCCAACCAAATGGAAAATCAACTAGGCATAACTTGTTATTGGGCATTAAATGCTAATTATGCCTGCCAGGCAGGTATGTGCACCAAACTAGAACAAGGTTTAACTAAGCATTTAGAAATTTTCCCAAAAACAAGAATGGCTCAGCACTAACTCAGAAAATATTTTGGAAAATCCAACAGCAGTTGGCCACAGGAAAATAAGCGAATACGCATTTATATATTCAGCTTTGGGCGTTGCGAAGAGATTCTAAAGTCTAGCCGCCTCTCTCGAACGGGCGCTCACTTGCCTGCACACTATCTCACTCTCTCCCACTCGCTCTTACTCTGTTTCACTGTCTGACTGACAGCAGCCGCCAACGCTCTAGGGTATTCGGCTCGGTGACTCGCATCGCGATTTGATCGCCGCTCAGTTGATTGGAGCCTCTCGAACGCGTCGCTGCTCGGTGAATTGAATGTGGCATGCGCTTACCTTAAAAAATATATAAACCATATACATATATAGTATTTATACGTATAGTATACAACCTTTGTTTAAAAACATCAACCAAAATATTACGTCGCTAACGTTTTATAGTGTGCAGTGTAATAGTTGTTGATAAGTTGGTCTGAATTGACTTTTGTGCACATTTATTCGCCGTTGTTCCGTCGGAGATCGGCGCACGGATGCCTTAAATTGACGGTAATCAAGCGTATAAAATAAAGTTAGCAGCGCAAGCACAATAAATTAAGCGCCTTATATTTTACGGAAGCAGCGAAACATGTTTTGGAAAGTGTGGAGCAAAAAATAATGAATTGAAAATAATTATGACAAAACAAATGCCAAAAGAAAAAGTACACAAATTGGAACGAAAAAGTGCATCAAAAGAAACAAAGATTAAAGCTGACTTAAACTAGTGTTGGAAAGTGTTAAAACAAGAAAAGGATTATTCGCATGAATATACAAAACTGATAAAATAAATAACGACCCATAACTAAAACTGTGTGCACATAAATTATCAAGACGAAAGAGGCGCAAATAAACCAAGTCATATAGAAAATAAAAAAATAAATAAAACTAAAAAAACACGATTCATTTGCGCCAAGCAATTCCCATTCAATGATAATTGTTAACACACATGAAACAGTCAAGCAAAACTTGGTAATTGCAGTGTTGTTGTTGCCGTTTTTTTTTTCGTTGTTGTCTAACACAGACACACGCACACACAAACACACCCAGAGAACAGTTGCTGCATGTGTATAAGTGACAATGGCCGCCGCTTAAATGCCGGTTTGCGTGTATTGGTGCGCTCAGAGACGCAACGCGATGTCTCCGTGCGCTCGTTTTCTTGTTGTTGTTGTTGTTGTTGTTGTTTTATTCGTGTAGTTGTTATCTGGAAAGTGCGCTCAGTGCGAATTTTGCGGGAACGACAACGACTGCCTTATCGCACTCAGTCCGAAGGCCCAGCTGAGCCCTCATTTTATTGCCTCATTCGGAGAATGCTTCGATTTCGCAATGAAAGAATTTGATTGTTAGCCCACTTCCACCTGGAGAGTGGGGATCAGACCAAATGCTCCAAATCTTGGATAACAATGGTCTCATAATGCTAAGATATCAACTCGTACTTGCTCAATCAATTTGAGCTTTGCTCTTCGCATTAATTTATAGCCATAGCCTTTTAAGTGGGCAGCTAAATTCTCGGAATGCATTTTACAAGCTCAAAGCGTAAATGTTTGTAATTAGCATAAGTCATGCGCCATAACAGCACCTTCGGTCTGGACTGATCGCTAAGTCACCGAAAGTCACAACCAGCAGACTGGAAATATACCCTTTCATTCATTTGACGCATGACTTTGGAATAGTTAAACATGTTTTAGAACACATTTTTTAGTATATTAATTAAAACATTTTTTGTACTGCATTAGGGGTGCACTTAATTTTTTAAATGTTAGGAATTGTTTTTGAGAATGCATTTGATGACGAATAATTGAACTAAACAATATGTGAATCAGCTGCAAATCAAGAAATATAAAATGCTCAATTCATAATGACTTAGAGTTTTAATTGCTCATAACCTGAAGCCGGTTTCTTGAGCATTCTATTTGAATTGTAAGCATTTGCTGCTTACCAGGCAATATAAATCAAACAAGCCTGTCTGTTTATTAATTTTATAAACGCAAATTAAGCGGAGACTGAATTACATCTGCATATTATTTACATATTCATATAATATATATAGACATATATATATTCCCACCTGACCTCTTTTGCTTATCAATAATACAAACAAATTTAAGCAGACCTTAAAACTTTTACAAGCTGCAATTATATAGAAAGTGAAAATAAAACAATAATCAAACTAAAAGTCAATTAATAAGTGAAAAATTTGTCTGAGCATAAAAACACAGAAATTTTTAATGAAATAAAATTGCAAAAGTTGATACAATTTTAAAGTAATTAAAAATTGCATTAAACCTAGCAAAACGCTGCAATGACAAAATGAAAAGATAAAAAATACAAAACACTGACTGTTGTATTTTATCGTTTGGCGCAGTCATTATCAACATTTCAAGTGAAAAAGTATATTTACTTTCAGATGCTCATGATGTGATGTTTGCCTAGAGAGCTGGCCGGGCCACCAAAAACATCAAAACGTTGCGAACAAGTTATTCAGTCAAAATGTTACGACAGCGATGCAACAGCTACTAAGAGTAGCACCCAGGTTGACAGAAGAGGAAACGTTACAAAACAAAAGCAATCACAAATAACAGAAACCAAACAGTGCCAAAAATGTATTGCGACAATGGAACGGAGTTAGGCACGAGCACAAATTTAAATACACACAGCATAAACCGAAGCAGCGGCAAGAATTGCAGCACATCCTCAACAGATTCGGGCGTCGGTTTGGTTGATAATGCAGTTACAATCAAGGCGGGGTCAACGACCAAAGATAACAATAGCACGACAAGCAGAAAATGTGAGGAAACAAAGGAGAAGTCCGAGCCGCAGGCGGTGGCGGAAGCAAATCCCCAACGTATCAGCATTGAGGTTGAGGCAACAGTAAACCTCAACAAGCCAACAGCCAATCGGTCGAAGAAATCATCACCCGCAGTCTCAATACGCAGTACGACGATCTCCATCGTGTCTATCGATGAAAATGCCATCGATTCCAGCTGCATTGACAGCGACTCCGAGGCGGAAGCAGACGAGAGCTGCACGGTGCAAAAACTGGGCCAACAGGTCACCTACCCGCCACACAGTGCCGAGCTGACGCAGCTCAACAAAGGACTAACGGTGATTAGTCGACAGGTGGTGCCCAGCACTGGTGAGGTGCCATCGCCGCCCACAGCACCCGATATCGTGGCCAAGCAGCTGCTCAATGGCAATCTAAATCTGGCAACGCCAGCAACCCCATCCTCGCCGCAGCAAATCGGCAGCATTGCGTTGACCAACACTACAGACGTTACTTTTGGTGATAAACACTACTACGAGGGACCTGTCACGATACAACAGATCCTGATCGATAGTCGCGAAAAGTGGAAAACGCTCGATGGTGAATCGGGTGGTCAGGATAATCCCGGTTTTAATCCACAGTCAACGTCAAATGGCAACGCTTCAGGTGAGTTTAGTTGAGAGAGCATTTAGAGTTGGAGAGATAGTATTTCATATATGTTATATTTTACTTTGTTGTCGGTCTGTCTGGTTTTATTTATACTTCGCATTCACCTTGGTTCACTTATTTGTTTTGTTTGGCGGTCTGTGGCTAATGCTCAACGCGTGTAAATAATATTTTTTTGTTTACTGAGAGCGTTAACAATATCGCCATGGGTCAGACATTTTGAAAAATGTATGGGAAGCAGAGAATTCGGGTATACACACTTTCAGAAAGATGTGTTAAATGCTAGTGAATGGAAAATTAACATTATTCTCATGTTGTAATTTATAGCTGTGCTAAAGAGGTTCCGACTCGATTATATATAATACAAATATAATATAATATAGTAAAATTATAATGCTTCGTACTCGAATGGATAATATTGTATTTACAACTATAGTTTTTGTAAAGAAAGTCAAGGTCAGTTCAGTAATTATTGTGATTGCGCATACGCATCGTGTGCCGAAGATATTGCGCATACGACCGGTTGCCGTAAATCAGTCAAACGAACGGCATACACAGCCCACTCATGAACAAACAAAAACAATGGCACCTGGCAATTGTTTACTCGAATTGTTCTCACAATTCCCATAATTAAAGATCGAACCAAAGCAACAACTGCAAATAAAATTGAATATGAATTCCAGCTAATTAATTGGCTCAGTCTTGCAAGCCGCACAGTTCAACTAGTTAATGTCACTAAGCTAGTCGGTGTTTCCCCTAAGCTAGGGTATAGAACTCGGATCAAAGTCACGTGCCTTGCCCAGCAGGGGGACTTTTTTTTTAGTATTATACAATGTTCATTAATTACTTTCTCCAACACGAATAACAAGTGCAAATTCTAGCACGCACTTGTTGTATTTACCGTATACTATATAGAGCACAAAAAAAAAGAACCGAGCTGTAAGAAATGGCATTTTTATTTTGCTGCGACTTTTGCAGTAGCTAATGTTCCGTGGTCGCAGAAATGTCGAGGAACGCGTTGAATTACTGTCTTTTGTGTCGCGGGCTAGTCAAGCGTGATCTAATCATTTGCGAAGCTGCATGTGGGCGTGTCTGTCACGCCCATTGCAGTGGTTTAAGCCAGCAGCAGCTGCAGATTATCCAAATTTATCCCAATATCGTCTGGCGTTGTGATAGCTGCCTTAAACAAACCCAAAACAATCAACAGCTAAGTGAAAGGCTGGAACAGTGCGTCAAGCAGCATGAGAAACGTTTGCAAATATTAGAACAGAGCTTAGCGAGGCGTGAGTGTCCAATATATTTATACAGAAGTCATATTTTTTGAATATGTGGCAACAAGTTGCACGTGCAATTAGCTTATATTTTTTTATATATATTTTTTTTTCAGGTGCCAAATTAAATGAGTCCTGCAAGGAGCCTGTGATTTGCCCGTTTCTGTCACATACAATCGGCCGCAAAGCCGTTGTTATAACATCAGCCTTTGCGATTTTAACGTTAGTCTTGATCGTTATACTGGCAACCACCACAAATCTCTTTGGCAAGACGTTAAATAAAAGTAAGCTTGGTGATGGCGACGATTCCAGACAAAATATTCCAATCAATTCAACAATAGGTACAGTTTTGTCGCTTTTCTATGTGTTCGAAAACGCTTTCAATTTAAAATTTGGTGCTTGCTATTGGCGTACTTCCCCTCACATTTTACTCTTCTATTCTATTCTACTCTATTATTTTATTATTTTCTATTTCTGTTTAACAAGCGCAAATGCGTACAATATCATGTTGAAACTATATAACAATCTACTAAAAAAACGCGTCTTATATTTAAACGCATCTCCAAATTATCGGTGAATACGGGGAACTGTACAGAGTTTAACAGTGTTGAAAAGTGCTTCGAACTTAAAGTGTGCCCTTAGTTTGATTGAATGGAATATGAAAATAAATAGTTCTTAGTGTTTGAAATAATAATTAATAATCGTGCCGCAGCTACTCTGGAGATGCTTAGTGTTGAGCAATGGGGTGGACGGCAGCCGAGAAAAGCGCTCACAAACCTTACGTTGCCCGTACATCGTGTCATCATATCGCATACCGCCGCCGAGGGTTGTGAGTCCCGGGTAAGCTTAACAGCTCCTCTTCAAGCCACAGGCCACTTTCAAATTCAACAATATTCCGTTCGTTTAAAGGATGTGTGTGAGGCTCGCGTGCGTGTTGTACAAAACTTCCACATGGACGGATGGAATTGGGATCATATTGGCTACAATTTTCTCGTTGGGGGCGATGGAATGGTCTACGAGGGCCGTGGCTGGGATTCTCAGGGAGCACACACGCTGGGCTATAATAGCGACAGCATTGGCATCTCCTTTATTGGCACTTTCATCAAGATTCACCCGACGGACGAACAGCTTCAGGCGTGTAAGCTGCTACTTGAGGAGGGTGTGCGCCTGAAAAAGCTGGTGCCCGATTACAAGCTCTACGGGCATCGGCAACTGAGCGCCACCGAGAGTCCCGGTGAAATTCTATATAGTATCATACAGACTTGGCCGCATTGGACAAAAAAAATACCCACAACATAGTTGATATATAGAATAATGTGATGATAATAATAATTTGTATTTTAAGTGAATGAATAAAGTTGGTAGCTTATTAAAATAAGTTGTTTGCCGTAAGGATCAGTTTATTTTCATGTATTAATTTCCCTCATAAGCACTTTCACTACACTAAAACTCATGTCACATAAATTTATATCGCGTCTTTCATACCTGTGCCGTTAAAAAAGTGTTGTGCAGTGTTGAACAATCAATTGGCCAAAGCCATGTTGAGTTGAATGGAATATGAAAATATATAGATATACTCGTAAATATCAATATATACTTATGATGCACGTATGTACTTATATATACCTACTCTATGCACGCTTCTATACAATTTACTCACATTTGTGTGTCTGTATGTGTTGTACAATCACATTCCCTGCCAACTGACCCACTAACCAAGGCCTCTTTGTGCAGCTATCGATGGCAGCGAACTAGTGTTGGTCAGCATTGATGAGTGGGATGGTAGAATGTCGCGTCCGACTCTCGAACCCCTAAAACTGCCCGTGGATCGTGTTATTATAGCACACACCGTAACTGAGGGCTGTGATACGCTGGTGAGTGCATCTGAATGTGGATTCGGTAGAGGACACCTTTTTTTAACCTAAAATTTATGCCAGGATGTGTGCTCTTATCGCGTACGAGTCATGCAAGCGTATCACATGGACATATTGGACTGGGAGCAGGTCGGCTACAATTTCATGGTGGGTGGCGATGGACGCGTCTATGTGGGTCGCGGCTGGGATTACATTGGAGCGCACACCATCAAATACAACAGGAGCAGCATTGGCATAGCCTTCATTGGAAGCTTCGATAAGATAAATGCAACGGAGCTGCAGCTGCGGGCCTGCCAGTTGCTCCTTGCGGAGGGAGTGCGCCTCAAGAAACTTACGCCGGATTATAAGATCTACGGACATAGGCAGCTGCTGGCCACACAAAGTCCTGGCGACAAGCTTTACAATATTATCAAGACCTGGACACACTTTGCAAAGACAACTTAGATTTCCCCTTTTTTATTGTTAACCAAGTGTATTATTATGGTATTTTATTTTAATAAACAAAAGAATAACTCAAGTAAAAGGCGGTTTGTTTTGACACGCCTTCTACATTGCTTCACCCACTTTAACCTTCTGTATACTCTATATATATTTATCAATATGACTAACTATTTTCTCTTGCACCTATTTTACAGATCAGGACAATATTGGTGGTGGCTTGGTCTTGAGATTTGTGCCGCGTGCTGCCTGGCTGGCCCAGCCACCACAGAAACAACTACCCGACCTGGCTCTGCCTGTGCCCATGGTCATATTATTGCCCACAAACTCAGAGAACTGCAGCACCCAGGCGCAGTGCGTGTTCCGCGTACGCTTCCTCCAGACCTTCGACATTGAATCGCAGCAGAAGGATGACATAAGCTTCAATTTTCTCATTGGCGGCGATGGCAATGTCTATGTGGGCCGAGGCTGGGATGTGGTCGGCGCCCACATGCACGGCTACAATACGCGCAGCCTGAGCCTCGCCTACATTGGCTCCTTTCGGCATCAGCGCCCATCATCGAAGCAGCTCAGCGTCACCCATTTGCTGCTCGAGCGCGGCGTCGAGCTGGGCAAAATATCGTCAAACTATAAGCTGGTAGCTGCCAGCACATTGGAGCCAACAATTACTGAATACAACGCGGAGCTGTTGTATCAAAGCTTCGCCAATTGGACACACTGGACAACGGCAGCCTAAGCTATCCAAAAATAATTGAAGTCATGACTGGTTTTGTTTTTCTCTATTTGATTATGTGGCATATTTCCCTAAGCTAGTAGACGTAAGCTTTCAATACAAAATTGTGATATTATAAAAAAACAAAAAACAAAAAAATTATGATGAAATTATGAATAATGAATTATACTCTCTTATTTTTAACTCACCCTAATCGTCAGTTTTGTTCGTTTCGAACGGGTCCGCAATACGTGACTTAGTTCGAAATATTGTTTAGCGCTTGGTTTATAGATCACAGACACAAATGCGCTACAGAATATAATATTAGTTTAGGCTCCACCTACCAGAGAGTCGAGAGAGTAAAAAACACATACAAATATATATGCTAGTCATCGAGTATCAGCTCTAAGAATACCCTAAGCATAGCTAGAATTAGAATTTAGAATTCATATTTAAATTCAAACAATGTTTACTTATGCTCGCCCCATGAATTATTGTCCGCTGCCCCTAATTGGTAACACTCTTTCTTACAGATCACTCACTATAAACAGCCTTCTTGGTGCAAAAATACAGGGTATAACCGTGAACTTTCAAAACGAACCCGACAATTAAACACGCGCCTTGACAAAAGCTCACTGGCACGCAGCAGCTGCTGTTGCTGCGCACTTCCATGCGGGGATTTTTCTGCAGACAGCGGAAAAAAAAAACAACATAAAATAACAAACAGCACTCGTAATTTGCGGTTGATCATCAACTCGCTTTGCTCGGATTCAGTTAACAACGGGCAACCGGCTTGACAAGACAACAACGCTGCGATCTCTGGAAATTTTTGGGCGATTGTCGAAATGAAGATACAACAATCTGTGCCGGGCATCGAAGATCAAGCGGCGAATACAAATGTGAAACAGCTGCGCGGTCTAATATGGATGTGCGCCATTCTCTTGATATTGGTAGCCACAACTGCCGCCTACTTTGTGTGGCTGATGAGTAAGTACCTCTATCTATCCAACAATAATGCCAGCTTATACAAGCTCCACATATGTGAAATCCGCAGGCCAAAACAACGAACTGGCTAGCAATTCTTTACGTATACTCGATCGCAGCGAGTGGCTCGGGGAACCACCGACCGGATTCACGCTGCTAAGAACCCCCGTATCTAATGTAATAATACATCACACCGCCACGGAGGGATGCGATACAGAGGTGTGTACCTTCGATAATCTGAAAAAAAAGATCACATATTTCATGTCCGGGTTAATGAGATATTTTATTATGCATATTAATAACTTGTTTACTTGAAGTGCGACTTAAATTTATGGATTAAATTCCTTGCAGGACGTGTGCATCTATCGTATGCGCATGATACAGTCCTTCCATATGGCCTCCCTTGGCTTTACGGATATTGGATACAACTTTCTGGTCGGTGGCGATGGAAAAGTCTATGTGGGCCGCGGCTGGCACGCACAAGGCCAGCACATCAATGGATATGGGCCCGTTTCACTTAGCATTGCTTTTATTGGCACCTTTGGTAATGAGGCGCCACCGAATCACCAAGTGCGTGCTGCCAAACGACTGATGGATGAGGGCGTACGATTGCATAAGCTGCACCCGGATTATCACATCTATGCACACAGGCAGTTGAGGCCCACTGAGAGTCCCGGCCAGAAACTGTTTGAGCTGATGCAGCATTGGCCACGCTGGACCGAAGACGTGACCGCGCGTAAGCTCCATCTATCACTTGTCTAAGCCGTAAAGCCAACGATTTGTTTCAGTACGCAGACTCAACAACGCGCCGCTTAGGTTTGTTGCACGTGCTGCTTGGCTAGCTCAGCCAGCTTTGGAAGCGCTGCCCCCCTGGACGCTGCCTGCCAAAAACGTACGCTTTGTGAGCACCTCAACAGAGTCCTGCGACACGCAAGCATCGTGCACTTTTAGAATGCGCTACCTGCAAACCCTGCACATTGAAAGTTTCGACAAACAGGACATCAACTACAACTTTGTGGTGGGCGGCGATGGCAGCGTTTATGTGGCCAGAGGCTGGGACGCCAGCTGCGAGTCGGCCTCCACAGATGAGCCGCCATTCGATGGACTCATTGTGGGCTTTTTGGGCATGTCCGAGCCCAGTACAACTCAAAGGAAAGTCGCTCAAGAACTGCTGGCTCAGGGCATCAAAATGGGCAAACTGGCAGAGGATTATCAACTGAGAGATGAACTGAAATAGAAAAAAAAAACTGTACAAACGCCCTCGCATTTGCCAGTGCCATAGAGCAGGGTATTCATTCCGTGTGGTCAACCAAATATTATTTTAAATTAATTTATAAATACTTTACGTTTGCTGCGCATATCTCGATAAATAACAACTTTTTCTTTAGATATAAATATGCCTTTATTAAATTTTTAACAGCTTTGCGATATTTAAATTAATTTTGAAAGCACATTGCCAATTATGTAAATTTCTTGTTCTTCAAACTTAACTATGTACAATTATATATGATGCGGCTTCACTAGATTACACTTTGTGCTTACAACAATTGGCTAAATGAAACTCGTAATTTGGAACTTTGAACATGGCTACTACATAAACTTAGTTAATTACGCTACAGAGATAACGACAGATTCTGGCATATCACATATGAATTATTTATACATTAATGATCCAAGATGCGCATATTGCCAGACACAATTTTGTTCTCCAGTATGGCGCCAGCGGGTATATCGATACGATCACCATGATTGGCAATAATAATCACAGTGCCCTGCAAAGTCAACGGAGAAATTGAGTGAGAAGGATTATATGCTTGAAGCTGAATGTCTGATTACTTACGCGCAAGGAGACGCCGCGACCAAAGGTCACATCGCCGCTGACCGTCAAATGATCCAGTTCAATAATATCGGGTATATTGGCGAAGCGACCCAAGAACTCCTTGACCTTGGAGAAATGATTCTCGCCCAGTTTCACAAGCGGCGTGGTGGGGAACATGCGCTGCGGCGACATCACCAGGCTGCCATTCTTAAGCGTATACAAATTCGACATGACAAGCAACAGATCAGACGATTTCTTCACGGGCAAGAAACGCGAACGGGGCACATTGATGCCGATGGCGCCATCGAAACACTTCATGGCCGCACCCACCGCCGTCTCCAGCTGAATGACGCGTAGACCATTCTCCAGTGTCTTGTTGTTTACAATAATCTCCATGTTGAGCGTGCGTTCACGCAGCACACGGTCGATAGCTAAATAAAAAAAAGCAGCATTTTAGGCACTATTTTGGATCGAAAGCTTAAAAGCAGGCTAGTTACCCGACAGATTGGCCCAAATGTTGTTGGTATTGAAAAACTTGAAGGTCTTGACAGACTTAAAGTCATCCACATGCTCTGGAGGCACCTGGGCGATTTCCAGCAGGCGCAACTTGTTCTCCATTTGTATGAGCGTGCCACCCTACAAAGGAGAGAATATGTATTCACACACAAAACAGTTTTGCTGCACTGGAGCCACCTTGACATCAGCACGGGTCTTGTCGGTGACCTCCATGACGAACTCGAATGGCGTGCTGGCGCGCTCCTCGCCCACCAGCTTGTTGAGTATGTTCAGATCGACGGTGGCGCCTAGATTGTCAATGTTGGACAGGAAACAGTATTCCCGGCCCTCGCCAATGAACTTCTTCAGCAGACCCGAGTTACGGAAGGTATCGTAGAAGTCACCGTGACCAGGTGGATACCAGCTAAAAGTGAAAGGCATTAGAGAGCAGCAAATTTGGACAATAATATACTCACGCCTCCATGTCCTTTTCCACATCGAAATCCTTGGCAACCGGCAGGAAATGCTCGCGACTGATGCGTGGAAAGCAGCTCTGGTTGAAGGTGTGTATCTGCACGCGGAAGCCCTTGTACTTGCGCACAATCTTTTCCGTGTCCTCATCCGTATTGAAGGAGTTCATCAGCACCAGCGGCACATTGGCATCGTATGTCTTATTCAGATGCTCGATTTGCTGCACCGTCAGATCCAAGAATGTCAAATCGGAACGCACAGGTATAACACTCTTGGGTCCATGGCAACCCATCGAGGTGCCCAGACCACCATTCAGCTTAATGACCACCAGTTTGTCCAACATATTGCGAATCTGCATTATGCATTAGTTACAAAATATTAATTGCAGCTCTTTAATATATTTTTTTAGGGTTAGCACAAAAGGATTTGTTAGGCTGCATTTGGAATTAGATACATCGCTAGTGCTAAAAGAACCAAAGCAACAACTAGTTAAACAAACAACTAAATAAGCGTTCCAATAGCCCATATTGATTAAGTATTGAGCAGAGAGCGAGAACAAGTGAGTTCGACAATTAAGCGCCAGAGAGAAGCGTAGAAGTTGAGTAAAGAAAACGCTTTTACCTCATTCTATTCATGATATGTATGTATATATATGCAGACATTAGCCATAGGACAGCCATTGCAACAATAACAACGGCAACAATGAGTACAATTCAGTGTTCAAATCAAAGTACACGAAATATGAAAAGATTAAAAAAATATATATATATATAATATGTCTATGTACATAAGAAAGTTATCATTAGGTTAAGTTGGATTGTTGAGGTAGGCGCGCGTTTTTTTTATTTATTGTTTTTTTTTTTTTGAGGAATATACCAGGGCCAGCAAACCTTTAAAAGGTCACTCAACTTTGGAAATCATAAAATACCTGCTCGTTTTTGGGCGACTTGAGATTGGAGTAGTTCATGACCGCATTTTCGGGCAGCTTTTGGATTTTATTCCAATCCAGCGCTGGTCCCTCTGCAATGATACCCCTCGGTGAGTTATAAGTAGAATTTAACAAGTTAAAAATTTACCCTCTTGCAGGAAGCGACCAAACAGATCCGCAAATCGACCCATTTCAGCTTGGAGTGCTGGTCGACGAGCCGGTTCCGTGGTCTGCAGCAGACGATCCACGTCGTTTTCCAGCAGACGCAGTGCATCGCGCTTGGTTACCTCATGGAACTCCTTCGAATCGGATGGGGCGCGCTGATGGCCGCGCATCTGGAAAAAAAAAAAAAAAAACAAATATTCAACAACTGTTCAAATACACTGTAAGAAATTGCGGCAAGCAAACGATTAAACGGCCTACCAAAGCGCAACAAGCTAAAAGCGCTCAAGTGACAAAAGTTCCAATAACAACGACGAATACAAGACGTGACGGTCTGCTAGACCGAAAGATAGCCTATACCTATCTCGGAATTGTCGTATTTACTTATTCCCAACATAAATAATCACGTTGTCGTTATGAAAATCGCATAGAAAGGTGATATTTCGGAGTAAAAAGTGCAATGATAGAGTAAGAGAAAGTTAAAGATTTCAGAAATAAGACAACGGGAGTGAGGAAGGATATGGGACAATGGGAGAGAAAGAGATATAGTGATAGAGAGAGAGAGAGAGAGAGAGAGAGAGAGAGAGAGAGAGCGCACGAGACGGCGGCAGTGTGACCGAGGCGGAGTGAGTATAAGCTTGTAATAAATGAGAGTCGAAAGCTAGTCAAAACTCTGTCATACCCTTTACAAAAATTATTAATGGGTATTGGATATAATAAGACAAATTGTTGTTGCTCGCGTAATGCGTGCCTAGGGCAATTACAAGCTTCGCCTGGCAGCCAGACGAGCGCATCTTCGGCGCTTTTGGCGACAGTTTTCCTAAGACAGTTATGGCAAGACGTTGGCAACTATTTGTGGGTCTGCTGCTGTTCAGCCTGAGCCAGCAGGCATCAGCTGGTGTTATGGACAATGTGAACGATGGCCTGAAACTGGCAGGAGAAATGTTTGGCATTAACACAGCAGCTGATGTGGCCAATCTGGTGGCCAAGGCCTTTTCCAGAGTGACAACGCGCAAGAAACCCGATCTAATGAGCGTGCTGCAGCAGGGTTTCGAAGCACAGCGAAACCAGCAGCAGGAAGAGGAGGAAGGTGATCAAGAGGAGCAGGAGAATGCACAGGAGTCGCCGCCCGTTGACGGAGACACACGTCGTCGACCCTTGCAGTTCAGCAGCGTTCAAATGCTGACCAACATGATGCGCATGATAGGCTTCGATCCGCGCAAGCTGGGTGCACTGGCTCTCAATGCAATTGTGATGATTGCACAGGCGGTAAGTCTGCTAACCATACAATTCGCTAATTCCCCGTCCCTAATTCTTACTCTAATTCTCTTTCACAGATTGGCAGCACAATAATGCAGGCGACACGTGGCGGCGGCGAAAGCAACGCTGACACTGGACCCGAGGCGCTCTTCGAGCCCAACGAACATCAGCCGCGGGATTTGACACCCGGCAGCCCAATAGATTGGTTCCTGAAACGTCCCGGCGCACATACACAGCGCATGGTGCGCCGCATCATGGATCGCCAGCTGCCCGAGTACATTGTGGACATGATTGAGTCCAAGGAGACACCCGATGGCAATGAAGCCGCCTGCCTGAAGCTGCTCATGTGCAAGAGCTCGCCCATCATTTGGGGCATGCAGAACTCGCTTAAGAAGCGCTTGGCCGGCGAGCCCGAGGAGTTCGACGAGCAGAGTTACATGAATGCAAATGCATTCTTTAAATATTTGCCCAGTTTGGATGAGTTCAAGGAGCATGGAGCGGGCTGTGAGTCCCGCTTTGCCAAGTACTGTCCACGCAATGCAACATTGGGCAAACCCTAAAGAGTACCCAAGAATATTAACCCATCAACCCAAAGACGCAATTTTTTATATTGGCATTTAGTTTTAAGTTCTAAATAGTTGCATCAATAAATCAATAAATTGTTTTGTAATTAGCCTGAGATTCGCAACAAGCGATAAGCCGGGCCTAATGTTCCATGAAACGACCTCTAAGCTACTAGTATATAATCTATATTATTATATGATCTGTTTACTCTACATGTAACACCCAACTATGCCTGGCTGGCATTTTGTCAACCCCCCGACTTTGTTTTGGATTATACGCTATCATCATGATAAGCAGCCTCTAGCAAGCATTCGGGTTGTACTCATGCTGACTTCATTGACGCCACGACGCGGTGACATTCCTGAGTGTTAGGCCCCCAATATTGAAATAGTGCTGCCCAATCATGAAATCGATATTAAAGGTATGCTATAAATACTTAACATAAACGCCATCAATTACGAGATTAGTGTCGAATTCGCGAGATGACAGCTAATAGCTAAATGTTTGTATACGACAGACAAGTTAATATATTTCGCTATAAGAAAACATTAGCGCATCATTTTCAGATTTTTCCTAAAAAAGGGCTTTCCAAAACATATAGGCTAAATTCTATTGTTATTTCACAATTGAGCCAACATTGAGAATCGTTAGATAAACATAAGCTAAACTATTATTAGTCAGGCAATTGCTTATCAAAGCTGGTTATCAATAAGGTTTATGGCCATATATTAATGATTTGTTAAATATGCAATGACAAAAATTTTAATTTTGTTGTGTAATTATTTGCCAACTGTGCATTGACATTCAGCAAGGTTGCAAAGCCCTCAACAGATGCCGGAGTCAATGCTGGCTAGCTAGCTGCTCGTTAACTGGGCAAAACGCAAATCAATCAGGCTAAAATATATCCAAATATTTGCAGCAAATGTTTTCTCAAGTTTTAACTTTGGCTATTTCAATGATACTGCGCGCTGGCGCCATCTAGCGTTCGGAATCGCGTGCACGCATCAATTAAAACTGACAATTCATGAAAAGATGTATATATATTTATATAAACGAACGTATAATTGCCATAATCGTTTTTCCAACTGATGGCGCACAAAAAACCAATAAAGTTCGCAGTTATTAAATGAAAAAGCATGAGACACGCCTTCTGTTGGTTTATTTATAAACAACGCCTAGTCGAGTGATAAGGCAAGTGTCAGAGGGCAGGTGTTTGAACTTCAGGAAGGTCAACTGTCCAGATAAGTAATATGTCGACGATTTCTGGCTGCTTGTTTATATAAATCAACATGCACACATAATATGGTATATATATGTTTAGAAGGCTTGCAACGCAATGTGTTTAGCATATTTATTAACCTGCAGTAGCTGCACGTAAGCCCCACACCTGGGAGCTACAACATATTAGATGATGAAAACAACTCCCTTTTTATTTGTTTAATTGCCTGGCAAGCTGGTATTTTAATTGGGCCTTTTTGGGAAGATCATAAACTGATGATCATGCCAAATGGAAAGGTGACAGACCCTTGCCGAAATATTTATATTTTAGCAATTGTAATAACTTGATATCTGCCTGGCGCGTGTGATCTAAACTCTTTGAACTTGGCTTTTTGGGCAGCAAGCATTATCAAATAACCTGGATGCGGTAATTAAAGTAATTTCAAGGTTATTTGCCTGACAACTGATGCAAAATTGTCGTTTAGATAAGATTGTTACAAAGAAACAGGAGTGTATTGTCGTTGCTAGTCAGAGAAAATTGCCAGCTGTAGCCTATTTTTATAATTTAAATTCTTGGAACATGGAACAAAAGCAAGAAATCATGTTGAAGTTGTAAAAGCTAAAAGGCGCTGAATTCTGCAGCTACATTGCTGATAATGATAAAACGTTACATAGATAATAACTTGCCCATGAAGAGATATATAAGGCCATGTAATACGCTTAAGTAACTCAATAGGAATTTTCTATATTGTGTTAGAACTCTCGAACTGCACTTGGCCCAAATATCGCATAACACGGGCTCTCCAGAGGCTTTGAGAACTTACACCGGCGCGTTGCAGCAGCACATCAATGGGTCGTATGCCTGACGTCATGGTTAAAACGTAAGCAACTCTATTTAATGAACTCTTTTTTGTTGTTAGTCACTTTAAAACAGCTGTGTTTCCTTTTATTTGATTTCTGTTTCTAACCACTTGTTTCGTCTTTTTTTTTTGTTTTTAATTTAGCAACACAAAAGCGCGCTTGAACGGGCGAAGACTATTCCGAAGCTGCCGACAGCTCTGTTGGCGAACTTTGCGCGACGACTGTGCAATTGGAAATACGGCTAGAATTCAATATGAATTTGAATTTCAATACAATTTTCAAAGCGAGTACACAGAGAGCCTCAACAGCGGCGTCGACTGCGGCGGCGCGGCTGGCGTCGACTGCGACGTCGGCTGAGCGACAAGTGAAACAGCAACAAGTGATAGCGCGCCTCCGTGCGCCACTGTAAGTGTGTGTGTGTGTGTGTGCGTGTGTGTATGTGTGAGTGTTCTTGGGACAGCAGTAAAAATTAACTAAAAACAAGCAAAAACAAATTTTTAAGAATTGCGTACAAAGACATGAACATATCAAGTAGTAAACGAGCAGCACGGCAAGCACTTAATGAGCAGAGTGAAAAAGTGTTGAAGCAGCAGCAAAATGATGAGATAAGATTTCGTTTTCAACATGAATTTTAAATGCCCTTTAGCACTTTTGACACATAAGAGCGTAGCGTATTTAAGAACTTAAAAGCACATTTCACTGAACGTTCAACGTTCAACGAACTGATCTTCAATCAATTATGAACTGGTTTTCAAAGCTGTCAAACATATTCCCAATTCCCACAGTTTAAATATGTAAATGCTTCCTGAATCATCTAGACATAATGCGTTACAAGCCTTGTCACACAGTTGCAATGCCTTTCGCACAGCGCGCTCTGCTAGAAAAGGGCATCGGAAGGGGATAGGAAGGTTCAGTAAACGCGCGGAAGTGGAAAATATGCGGGGGCAGCGCTGTTTATCAGCCGACCGCCAAAGACACTCAGCCACTTGGCACACCCACATTTAACTGTGTCATGAATTGTCAGCAATTGCAGTGATTACCGTACTAAGTAGTTCTTATCAGCTAAAGAACGCTGCGTGCATAAGCTCATGCTAGTGATAAGAATATGTTATTGGATTTTTATTATAGTTGATTCTGATTTGGTAAACATTAGAATTTTTGGCAAGCCGTTCCATACACAAATATATGACATACATATATATATAAGTATATAAAGCACACGACAAATTAAACCCAATAACAAATTTGGGCAAAGACCCCCAAAAACTCTCACACACACACACACACACATACACACCCTCAAACGGCTGTGTACATAGCTATGTAGAAACATTTGTGTGTGCTTGGCGGCTAGGTCACTTGAAGGTTAACCTTAGCCGTGCAGCGCAGTGGGAAAACCCAAGCTGAAGTGCAACAACCGCCATCAAATGTCCGGCTATAAATAGAGAGTAAAAACCGGCAACAGTTGTTGCATTTACTGGAGAATTAACGCTGCATTTTTGCTGCACTCAATGAGAGCGTGAAAGAGAGGGACTGACATTCGTGTGCGAAGTGAGTGAGAGGGAGGAAAGAGAGCGATTGGATCAACAACAAAACTTACCTTGGCTTCTTGTGGCACATCCAACATTTTGCTTCAGTTAATTGTTTAAAATGAAAGCACCCACACAAATTTCCAATTTGAATTTTAAACGTATTTACTTAATTCAACAACAAGCAGAGTGCAAGATAAAATTAACCGAACAACGAGACCACACAACGCAAAGAATTTTAATAAACTGACAATAAAAACACAACAAGAGGAGCAAGAAAGATATTAAAGTGATGCCGCCGTTTGATTCTCTGATTGGAGAACGCTTTGAGCATAAAAAATAGAGATGAGACGCTAAAAGAGTAACCGTTTCAGAGTCACTGCGACTGTCGTAGGAAATGACACAGCCGAGGACATTTAGATATCTTCCAAATTGTATTGTAAGACTTCGAAATTTTCAAATTTCTTTATTTAAATTAAATTGCGAACGCAATGCTTGAGTTACGTCTATAATTGTGACAGAAACATTTGATACATTGGAGTAACTGTTTGGAAAATGCCAAATTAATTACCCATCTCTAAGAAGTTAAGCAGCTGATTGCGTGCTAGCGATGGCACTTTGAACCCCACATCAGCTGACAAGTATGACAGACCAAAACAAAAGGGTAGACAAGTAATGCGAAGTAAACAGGGCAAAACCATTCAAAGAGAAGCCGTATTAACTTAAACTTTGTTGCACACGCAAAGAAAAAACAACAATAATATGGGAGTTTGTTTATCATGCTGCGGAAACAGCGCCGAGGAGACAAATCTAATGCCACCTGCGGTAGGGACTTCTTATTTTTGACTGAATACATTTAAGCATTTGCCCTTCCAGGAGGAGCGACGCAGGCAGCAACTAGAGGCTGCAGAGCGTCGTCGTCTGGAAAACGAAACACGAGGAGTTAAAAATCTGGACAAGGTTCGTCGTCAGCAGCAGCGTGCCGCCGAAATGGAGCGTAGAGAGGATGAGGCAGCACGCCAAGGTGACAACGGCCCCACTCTGCGGGTGAGTTTAGCTAACTGAACTTGAAATTGAGTCGAAATTTTCGATAAGTGCTGACGGATTAAATATCGGAATTGGATGTGTACATTCTTTATTTGATTAAAAACTGAACACATATATTGTTATTCCGTTTTTTTTTTTGCAGTGGCAGGCAAGTTAAGGGCTTGGAAGAAACTCAACCGCAGCTGCCTTTACGGGTTTTTTTGTGCCCAATTGTTGACTGTGTATCAAGGCATTTGTATTAATTTGTTTTCAAATTTGTGTAAATATGTACTATCAAACTATATTTGTGATTAAGCCCAAACCCACACATACCAAATTTTCAACCAAAAATAAAAGATTCTAAATCGGGCAAATGACCAGTGTTGGGCAACACAGCTTAACGCTAAAACAGCTGTTTTTTTGTTCGTTCGTTGCGTCAACTGCGCAATCGGATTTGTTCTTTAACACCTGTTGCAAGCTTTTGTTTTGAGTTTAATTAAATTAAAATGCTTCTCGAGCCGAGTTGCTTTATTGTTTTGTGCCTGATCTGTGCCACACAATTCGGTTGCCATGCAAAAACCATAAAGAAAGCTGGAGCCAGCCTGCTGCAACCACTGGATGAGCTAAGCCCTTGGCAGGGTAAATGGTTTCCCCATGCGCCAGGCGAGCCGCCCACAGAAGAAGTGCAACGTATGCAACTGCAGTCAAATGCAATAGCTACATCAAAGGATGCATGGCAAGGCAAGTGGTTTCCTCAAGCTCCTGGAGAGCCCCACATCTTAAGAAATGAGCTGATGGCTAGCTCTGAAGCGGATACGTCTGCTGAAACCACAGATAGCTGGCAGGGTCGATGGTTTCCCCACGCTCCAGGTAAGGCTCACAATTTAAAGGACGCTGCTCACCGCGAAGAAAAAACAATGAAGGAGCCGCAGATCGTCATCTGCGATGATGGAGAGGTAGGCAAGCTAAACGGGGGGGGTTTTTTCCGACATATTGGATTACTCATCACACACTTTTATTTAATTATGTAGCACAACCTGAGTGTTGATTACCAGCCGGAAGATATACGTCAGAACTACAATTATCTGTGCCTGGAAAGCAACCGAAGCCGCTTTAATCCCAATTTGAACAATGAGGCCTTGCTGACGAAACACTTTTTGCCCAGTGCCTACGTGCCACCTGCAAAGTGCCTGAATGAGTCCATTGGCTACTCGCACCAGCCAGCCACAAGGTTAGTCAGCGACACGATAAACTGCTTTAATCGAATCCTTAACCAAATTTTTGCTTTATAGCGGCGCCTTCCGTCCATTGCCCGCCGTTTATGGCACCTACAAGTACATTCCCCCTCAGCGATATATGCGAAATCTTGCCGAAGGCGCCATTGTCATGCTGTACCATCCATGCGCCTACCATGGCCAGGTGGCGCAGCTGCAGAATATTGTTGGCGGCTGCCTCTATAGACATCTTATAACGCCCTCGCAACTGCTGACGCCGGAGCGACCACTGGCATTGTTGGCCTGGAGGCATAGTCTGACCATGTCGGTGGTGGACAAGCAGCTGGTGGGCCAGTTCATAAGAAACTATGCCAAGCTGGGTCCACTGGCGCTGCCAAATCTCTCACGCGTGGTAGAGAAGCGCGAAACCTATAAAGCTGCGCTGCTGACTGAAGCTCGACTCGTCACCGATTTGGATGACAGCGAGCTGTGCGGCTACTTGGATTTGCACATGTGAAACCTGTTGACTAATTACTGCACTCTCGAAATTCCTTTAAAAATGTATATTATTTAATATTTAATGGCCACTTAAAACTTAATAATTAGAATTTGTTTGAATTCTATAATCGATACGAGTCGCAATCGCAATGTGCTTATCGACATGATATCGAGTGGCCGATAGTTTTGTGGTGGTCGGCAGATAGACGCACGGCAATTTGTTGTTTTTTTTCCACTCTACCATAAATACCTTTTGTTTTGCGGCACTCACGCATTCAGTTCGTTTCTCTTCTACAACCTAAAACAACTAATAAGCGATACGCGTTACTCCCATTATTCCGCCGATTGTGTTTGATTTTTTATTGCACGCCAGCTGGAAGCGTAAAGAAGAAGCAGGGCCAGCAACAACAGCGGAGAGGTGAAACAAAGGAGACGGCGACGGCGCAGCGCACACAAAAACACAATTAATATTTTTTATATAAATTGTCGCTGTTGGATGAGCACGGGACCGCGAAAGTAACGAAGCTGCCAGTAGAAAAGTGATCGCACATCACGTGATAATTACGTGAATACGTGATATTCCTGCTCCTGCCAAACGCCCCAAGCAAATTAACCAACACACATCCTGCAACGCGTCTTTTACATAACAAGCGGCAAATCATGAACAATCTGGCGGACTCTGTGGTGATCGATCCGGGCTTTGGTGGAGGCGACAAACAGCAACAGGCGGTGGCCACACAGCCGCAGGATGCCAGCGTTGTGGTTCCCCCACCCGCCACCAAGCAATCCTCAGCTCTGAAGAAGACAAGCCGGTATCGCAGTCGCTCCCTGAGCGCCTCCTCCACGGACTCCTTCAGCTCGGCCTCGTACACGGGCAGCAGCGAGGACGGCGACGATGTGCCGCCGCGCGAAAAAGTGCAAAAGAACTCCAAGGGTAGCTCCGACTTTTGTGTGCGCAACCTTGGCGCCCAGCATGCGTTCGGTCGCCGTGAAATCGAAATTGCCGAACAGGAGATGCCGGGCATCATGGCACTACGCAAACGTGCCGCGGAGGACAAGCCACTGAAGGATGCCAAAATCGTTGGCTGCACCCACATCAATGCCCAAACGGCGGTGCTAATCGAAACCCTGGCAGAGCTGGGCGCCAGCGTTCGCTGGGCCGCTTGCAACATTTACTCCACCCAAGTGAGTAACAATCATTGTTGTGGGTGGGTTGGAACACCCTATATAACATGTGTATATCCTACTGTTGAGCTCTAAAGGGGAACATCTAGTCCAAAGTGCTAAAGTACAGATCTTAGCATAAGCAAAACATTTTGTATGGGGGGGATCTGGTGGCAACTGTTTTGTGCTGCCAGCGCCATTCGCTTCACGCAAGTCACTTGAGCCAATTTGTTGTCACGCACACACACACACACACAGATAGAAAGACAAACAAATCATCAATCAAATGACGCGGACAAAGTTAAAGGGGTCGCGGGCGGCTCAAGTGGCTTGGTTTGGCAATCAAAGAAGCGAGACGCTGATAATTGATATGTGTGTGTCTCTGTGTATGCGCGCCCGAAATTGGGTCTGGGCCCCCTCCGGGCACTATTGTATTCTGCGGGCCTGCAAGGGAAACTGGTTTCTGGCGCCCAGCTCCGGCTACAGTCCGAGCTCGCAGAGCAGCTACCCCTCATCTAGCCCAGGCGGCGGGACTATATCGAATGCAATTAGCATTGACAGTCCAAAGCTGTTTGCACTTTTTTATGTGCCGTCTAATTAATCGCTACACCCACACAGGCACGGATCGGACGGGGCAGCGCCCTTATCGACTTCTTATTGACACACTGAATCACACAGTAAGCGCTGCGTAGCTTTCAGCTTATCAGCCGAGTGCTGTGCTTAGGCGGAGTCACCTGTACTAGCAACCGCCCGCCTTTCCCTCTAACGCCCCTTGCGTTTACTTTTTGCAGAACGAAGTGGCCGCTGCACTGGCCGAATCGGGTATACCGATTTTTGCCTGGCGCGGGGAGACGGAGGAGGATTTCTGGTGGTGCATTGATCGTTGCGTCAACGCCGAGAACTGGCAGCCCAACATGATACTGGACGATGGCGGAGATGCCACCCATCTAATGCTCAAGAAGTATCCAACCATGTTCAAGCTGGTTAAGGGCATTGTCGAGGAGAGCGTCACGGGCGTGCATCGCCTTTATCAGCTGTCCAAAGCGGGCAAACTGACGGTGCCAGCGATGAATGTCAACGATTCGGTGACAAAGACCAAATTTGATAACTTGTACAGCTGCAAGGAGTCCATTTTGGACAGTCTCAAGCGCTCCACAGATGTCATGTTTGGTGGCAAGCAGGTCGTTGTCTGTGGCTATGGCGATGTCGGCAAGGGCTGTGCCCAGGCGCTCAAGGGTCAGGTAAAAGATGCCTAGCAACCATTCGTGAGAGCCCGCTTAACATAAAATCCTCAACTTTTTCTCATCAGGGCTGCATTGTGTACATCACCGAAATCGATCCGATTTGTGCGCTGCAAGCCAGCATGGATGGCTTCCGTGTGGTCAAGCTGAACGAGGTGATCCGCAATGTGGACATTGTGGTGACAGCGACGGGCAACAAGAATGTGGTGGTGCGCGAGCACATGGATAAAATGAAGAGTGGCTGCATTGTGTGCAACATGGGCCATTCCAATACGGAGATCGATGTGAATGGGCTGCGCACACCGGATCTCACCTGGGAGAAGGTGCGCTCCCAGGTGGATCACATCATTTGGCCGGAGGGCAAGTATATCATATTGCTCGCCGAGGGACGGCTGGTCAACTTGAGCTGCTCCAGCATACCCTCATTTGCGGTATCCATTACATCCGCCACGCAGGCGCTGGCGCTGATTGAGCTCTTCAATGCCCCGCCCGGTCGCTACAAGTCCGATGTCTATCTGCTACCCAAGAAGATGGACGAGTACGTGGCCAGCCTGCATCTGCCCACGTTCGATGCGCACCTGACGGAGCTGAGCGACGAGCAGGCCAAGTACATGGGCCTCAACAAGGCCGGTCCTTTCAAGCCCAACTATTATCGCTATTAAAGCGGCGACGACGGGACAATAAATGAACGCAAACAACAACAATTAGAAGAACAACGCCAACGAAAGTATTTCCAATGCAAGATTTAAAACTATTTACGCGAGAGATGAGCGTCTCACAAATTGTTGACATAGAAGATGAAAAAAAAAAAAAAAAACAAAAGAATAACAAAACACGACAACACAAAGTTACTATAAAATTGTATTGCTTAGTAAGCGAGACACGAGACACCAAAACAAAACAAAACAAAACAAAACAAAAGAAAACAAATCACACAAGAAACAAGAAAAAACGGACGCTTTTTAGTTGCTAGCATTTAACTAATAACTAATGTATTTTTGGCAGTTATTTAATAGCCGCAAAAAGTATTTAAATTGTTTGTCACATTTTGTCATTTGCCAACACTACACCCACACACACTGACGCGCGACTAACGGTTTCGGTAGCTAACCAAACTTTCGCTTTGCTAACACACCCGCCACCCCCCGCCGCCCACATTTGGTGTACTTAACCAGCGGCATTTGAATTTATAATATATAATTTTAATTATATTGAAAACGTTTTGTTGCCGTTGCATGGAATTTACTTAAATATTTACACCTGTTTTTACTTGTTTAATCGTTTATTTGCATACTTTTTCTTTTATACCAAAAGCATGTTTCATGTTTCCCCCTTTTGATCGCAATTTTTGTATCCTTAATCCTTGAGCGTCGTTCACGATGTCAGTTAATTGAAATGCAGTGCAAATAATTCCATTTATTCAATTATTGAGGTACTTACGTACACGCAGGCATATATCAGATAAAGAATTCTATATATACACGCATATTATTAGAGAACTTTATGTATAAAAAATAAAAACAATTGAACAAAAGTGAAGGAAACACAAAATGTTTGTAAAAAAAAAAACAACTGAACTTTAAGCGAAAATTGTGAAAGTATAAACAATAAAAAACGTTTTATTGAGCAACGCGCTCGTTTTTCCCCTTTCAGCTCCGAGAGCCCAGTTCTAGAGATAAAAGAGAAAACAGTTTGGTTTATTTTATCAGATGCATCACTCGTCTATTTTTATTTGATATTATGCCTTAAAAATTTTATGTTTCTTTGATATTTTTTGTTTTTTTTTTTTTTACCATAATTTGTAAATTACATGTTACAAAAAATTATATATTCTTGATTTTTGTTTTGTTATTTCGTTACTTAAAATGCCGTAGACTACATGAAAGTATTGTAGATTCGTCTTAATTAGGTTTAATCCTAACATATTGGTGGGGTGGACCCCTTGGCCGAGCCCAAAATAAGTCATCGACGACGTCGTCTACACCGCGTGCAAATAATCCTTAAAAAAAAAAAACAGCGATAAATGGAACAAACAAATGTCGCAGAGCCGAAAATTTGCATTCAAAGGAATCAAAGGGACTAAACTAAATGTTAAGCGATGTGTATATGCGTTTGCTTATATATGTGTGTGTGTGTGTGGGTGTGTGCTCGTGGTTGTATGTGTGTGTGCGTGTGCCTGTTGTTGTTGTTGTTGTTGGTGCTTGTTGACCAATTGCATCTGGATGGGACTGGGCATGTGGCTGCAGAGAGCAGCTTAGTCAAGGAAGTGCGGCTTCAGGTGCTTGAGCATGCCGAAGGTGCGGAAGCGTTTCACCTTCATGACCTTCATTAGCTCATCGTCGCATATGGCGAACTGCTTGTTCTTCGGATCGTACAAATCGCGCTCCTTGATGATGGCCCACACCTTCTTGACCACCTCGTGACGCGGCAACGAGTCGGCGCCCATGAGAGCGGACAGTTCCGGCGACAGATTGTAGGCTCGTGTGAAACCTGTGCTCTTGCGTCCAGTGCCGGAGCCGCTGCCAGCGGATTTGGCCGCCTTCTTTTTGGGCGCTGGCTTCTTGACCACCTCGTAGTCGGAATCGGAGCCGGCATCGCTTTCGGTGCCCGAATCATCGGCATTGAGGCTCTTGCGCTTCTTCTTGGCGGACAACTTGTGCTTGGTCGGCTGTGGCCGTTTCTTGGGTGCCGGCTTCTTCTTTTTCTCCTCCTCGCTGCTGCTGGCTACCTCGTCCTCCTCGCTGGGGTCGCTATCGTCCTGCGGCTCAGCATCGGGATCCTTGCCATCGTCCTCATCGTCATCGTCCTCCTCCTCCTGCTGTTCGTTGATAACCTCCATCACAATCTTGTCGAACTCCTTCTTACGGCTCAGCAGCGAGCAATTCAATTTGCTTTCCACCTGCTCTCGCACCCTCTTGGCCGAAATGGTCGATAGATCCGCATCCTTGAGCACAGACTGAATTTCGCTCCTCAGCTGAGTGCTGGAGATGTCCGACATTTTGTTCTCGTTGTTTTCTCGTTTTGATGTACGACCGACGCAGACTCAGAAGCCAGACACGTTTCGTCAGCACTGAAATACGAGAAAAGTACACGTGAGTTCACGTATTTTTTGTTTTTATTTAATACTAATAATTGCACGTTTCACTGTTGCTTACCCTGTAATATGTTTATAATATTTTTCTCGCTGCCTGTGTGTTTTTTCGGTCCAAGAGTGAAGCGGCTCGTTTTCTTTTTTCTTTATACCCTCTCCGGCGTCTTAATAGGGTTGCAGCTTACAAGCCTGGATACACTACGTTCAAGCTGTATGATGGCGTCTTTAGTGTTGCATTATATGTTTATCGCCCTTGTCTCCAATGCAACTCTGCATGCTGCAGGGCTGCCAACTGTTTGCAAATGAACTGCCTGTTAGTTCATGCGAACAGCTGCAGGCGGCGCTAGTGTGCAATGCAAGTGTTTTTGTGAATTCCGCGACGTCTGTGCATAAAATTCGAAATTAAAGTAACATTAATGCGTAAATTTAATTAAATTGTGTGCTCCCAGTTAAACTCAGTGCTCAAAGTTGTCAATGCACACTCCACAGCAAGTGTCAGACGCATAGTGCCAACTGGCGACAGACGCAGCCAACAATAACAATCGCCCCAGAGACGCCTTCACAGCAAACGGGAACGGAATCCAACAACAATCGCAGCAGCAGCAGCGGCAGAAGCAGCGCTGAGGTAATTTTGCTATTTTTTATGTGGCTTTTGTTTATTTTTATTGTTGCCCCTTTTACATGTGTGTATGCGTGTGTGCGTGCGTGCCTGTGTCTGTGCGTGCAAGTGTAGTTGCTCTATTTCTAAATTTGCTTCTGGCTGCAACCTGGAGATGGCGACGTGTGAATTGTTGTTGCACTCTGCAGCTAGTTACATTTTTTATTTGCGTTCTTGTTTTAGTGTTAGCTAGTTTTTGGCAAACAAATTGTGTATGTCAAATAAATGCAAAAGCTTGCAATGCTTCTTTTTTTTTTCTTATTGGCAGCGCTTTTGCCTTGTCGCTTTTGTGTCATATTCGCGTCTTTGTTTTGCCGGCTTCGCTGCGACGCCCTTTTCCAATATGAAGTCGCATGTGCAGCTGGTCTCATTGGTTCTGTGTGCGCGCGTGTGTGTGTGCGTGTGTGTGTGTATGGGTGTCGCTCGTTGCGTACGTGAGTAAAACACATCGCTTACAATTGATATAAGAACAATAAGATTCTATCAAAAGCTCATAAGGCATATCTCAACACAGAACATTAAAACAACGCAGTGTTTGCTCGCTAATTGGAATTGTTCGAATTGGGATTCAGATTAGAATTAACTACAACTTTGGAAAGTCCCTTACTCAAAATTGGAAATGTGAATTATGAATGGGGATACATGAAAGTTCTACATTATATTATACAATTATTAATATTATTTTAAGAAACATTTAATGAGAGCTGTCTATAATATACATCAGTTTCTTACAGTACCTTTTGTCGAGGGACTACTGTAATAAATTGCTAGGTACTCGTTTATTTATAAGAAGCTGATTGTGGCTGATTGGAGGGTGTGGGTGTGTGTGTGTGTGTGCCACTTGTTTGCCTCGGTGCAAGATTGTAACACGAAAAGCTCTCCACCCAACATGCCTAACCCTATGCAACCCTGTCGCAGTTGTTGTAGGCGGCGGTTTTTGATGTCGTCTTCGGGCCATTACGATTTTATGGCTTTTGTATTTTCCCTTGGCAGTGCTTGAAAAAAAAAAAAAAGCTGTAAACCGCAGCTAGAACAATTATTGAAATAACAAAAACAGTTCACGAATTCCGCATACCCTTTTCAAAACATAAAGCCTTGTAATGTTTCATTCCAACCTGTTGCGGGCAAGACATTCCAATTAGATTTTGGTACGTGCCACTAAATCGTATTGGAGCCATGGCTCATATATTTTGTATGTAAAAAGAGCATTCGAACGTTGACATTGCTTCACGTATATGACTTATATTAATTTTGTGGAATATTATTGGTTGATTTCAGTATTTATTGCAGTGCCTGTCCGCGCTCAACGTAGCGCTAGCTAGCATCAGTGATGAGCAAAATATCACTGAATTGCGATCGATCACTGCATAGAATAAATATCGGCTATGGCTGAAGTGTATACAGATTATCGAAACACTGGCAGTTATCGAAGCTGTGGCTCAGGTTCAGCTCGAAACGTAGCTTCAGGTCCAGTATCAAAGTAATGTAGTTGTGATGCAATCAATAAAGTTATCCAAGTTTTATATCAGGCTCAGCTCTTAGCGAAGTTATAGTTCAAGTTATCGAAAACATATCGATTATCGGAAATTATCGGAAGCTCCTTTTTACCGCTGACATGTTCCATATTAGATTAATTTACTACAATTTTGTGTTAAATATATATGAAAATAAAACGAAAATGATATTTTCAAGAATACAATACCATAATATTCCTAAAAAATATAATATTCGTGAATTTAATGAATAGTTCGACTAGCATCAGCAGTTTTATTTGCCACAATTAATGAGTTGTTGTCGTGTTTTGTTAATGTTGCCAGCTTGTGGCGTGTTGTCGCGTTGTTAAAGCGCACAGTGGCCGTTAAAAGTTGATATACAGCAGTTGCTGGCACCTGTTGCAGCTGCTACACCCACACACATGTGCACATACTTTTCGTTTGCACTGTGCCATGCCTTCATATTTCTTTTTGGATTTCTTTGTTGTGTGCACCAATTAGTTGTTCTTGGCATAGTTTTATTTTGTTTCGTTTCTTCGCATAACATTGCTCATTTAAGTAATCACATAAATTATCGCCGATTATGAAATCACAGCACAGCTGAGATTTTCCATCAGCTATTTTCCCGCTGGGCTCAAAGGCAACTGTTGAGGATTTTCATTCGGTTGGCCCAAGAGATGTGACAGTTAAAAAAGAGTTGCCACTCTCTTGGGTAGTGTTTACTGCAGCCGCAAAAAGAGTTGCCAGCTGTTCTCATTCACAAAATAGATCAAAACAAGAGCTTATAAACTTACGAACTAGTTGCGCGGAACAGCTTAGTTCTTGCTGTGGCCTGAAAGAGTTATTAGCTGGTTACTAATTGAGTTGCCACCTGACTGTTTTGCAAAACTAAAGCCATTCATTTTACGAACTAGTTCCGCGGAACTGCTTGGTTATTGCTGTGGCGCAAGACTGGTTTCTATAAGAGTTGCCACCTGACTTGAACGAATAGACCAATACAAAAGATATTTAAACTTACGAGGTAGCCCGGAGACTTAGTTATTTCTCCGCTGCGGCTCAAAAGACTCTTTGGCTAGTTTCTATAAGAGTTGCCACCTAATCTTAAAATAAATGAACAAGTAAATGTTTTCACATTTTGTGGTTAACTGCAGATTTATTTAAAATTTGGCAAATCTCTTTAAAAAAAATCCCTGCTATGCACTGCCATTTACTGTTTGTTTATGGCTTTTCTAAACTAAATGCTCGCCATTTCGTCATTATAAACGACGTCAAAGTGAGCAGCCCCAAAAGTCGAGCAACTTTCGCATGGTGAAAAATGTTTTTCAATTTCTTCGCCCACGCCGCAAAAATTCTGACGCGCTCGATTTCAGTTTCTCTGGCCGATCTTTTATTTTATTTTCTGGTGTTTTTTTTTTTTCATTCCTTCTATATGCTTTTTTTTTATGCTACCCGTTTTATAATTTATATGCGAAAGAAAATTGGAAGGCAAATAAATAAATAAATAGGAATATGTTGTTTCTTTCTCCTGCAATGAAAAAGACATTTGAAAACGAATTGCCAAAGCTGCGGCCAAGTGTGCGTGCACAGTGGGCCATAAAGTTAGCCGGCCCACTCATAATTCATAAGCCAAAAAAAAAAAAAAACAGAAAACCCAAAAAACTATTTGCAAATTTCTACTGACCCTGGGCGAGGTGCTTGACAGCAGCAACAACATCGGCGCCCGTTATTATGGTTGCAAAATGTCATTGCACATATATTTTTATGTTTTCAAACATGTGCACAATAAATTTGTGCAACCACGCCCACCCGCCACGCAGTCAAAAATTGTGCAATAAATTCCCTTACTTTTTCTCTCTCTCTCTCTCTCTCTCTCTCTCTGGCTTGTCCCTGACATTGGAGCATGGAGGAAAATGTGTGGAAATTGCAATTTTTCTGTGAAAAATGTGCACATTGTTTGCGACAATTTGCCAGACAGCGCGAATAGTTGTGAAAACTTTTTTTTTGTTTTTGGCTAAATGTGCATTATGAGTAATTAGTTCGAAGTCTAGGCGCTTGCCCACGTAAATCCGTCACATAAACAACCACGCCCACTGTGCTGTGGAGGCTGGGAAAGATTAGAGGAGCGAGCAGGGGTGGGGGGGGGGGGGGGGGTGGTGGTGGTACTGGGACATGTAAGGTGCATAAGGCACAGTTGTTGACGTTCGTCTCTTGACTTGCGCCCAATTTGGCAATAAATTTGAAAAATCATTTCTAAAAATTTTGTTCGTGCACAAAAATGTTGTCGCTAAAGAGCAAAAACAACAACAACAACAACAACAACAAAAGCGACAAGAACAACAACAATAAAAGCCAAAGCTGAGTCAATTTTCTTATTTTTAGTTGCTATTTTTCTTAGCCGCGCGGCGCGGAGCGGCAAATTCGGTTGATTGCGATTTATTTTTGCCAACGCTGCGCTCGAAATCTATTTTATAAGTATATATGCATACAAATATATGTATTTATTTATATACATATATATATATTCCAACACATTTTATTGAACACTATACTAAAGAAATATTCAACTAGAAATCATATTTATGCTAAATTTAAAAATTATATTTGACTGGCGTCTAAATTTAAACATGCCATTTACTTCGTGAACTGGCAGAGCGGAAGAGGCGCAAGGGTCGAATGATGCGGGGGCGATTAGTCATGCAGGTGTTTGGCTGCACACAAAACGATTTGGCTTCTTGTTGTATAAAACACTCGTGCTCACAATTTGATCAATGTTTAGATCATTTTCACAAATCATATAAATTATCTTTTAGATATTGGTAATTGGCGCTCGCCAATTTGTGAATTTGTTTATGCGAATTTATGCTACGATCTGGCGAAAGTTGTTAAGAAAATTGTTTGTTTGTATTTTTTTTCTGTCTATTTTTCAAGGTCGTTCTGTGTTTTGTTATTGTTGCCTAGCAAGGATTTTCGTTATTGTGTATTGCCGTGTGTAGTTAAGATTCGTTGGCCCATTGCCAAATAATTAATACATACTATTATAAATCTTCAAACTGTTTAGTTAAGTAACAGTGCTCCGTTAAGTATACGCATTCGTCTCATATAAAATGATCATATTAATAATATTTCAAATTCTTGAGCGAAAACATTTTATGGTTTTATCAAAAATATTGTAGCTCCTACCAGATTTTTCTGGTCTGCGTCTGTATATTTTTTATTTTTATTTGTTAATTTTGAACATATAAAACTGTTTTTAAAAGAGATGCTTATAGTTTGGGAGCTGATCAACTCCCACACAAAGCGAAATGTGGAATATGCAATTGCCAACCAGTTCATAAACAGTGTTGAATACTTTTCAAATTGCTGCCAGTGTTGTGAGCTGCAGCTTGATACAAAAATACTGAAATCTTAACTTTTCAAATTGGAAACATGAGGCGTTGCCTTGGCTAAATTTGCGTCAAGGCACCTGTATCGAGGCTCCTGTCTTCCTCAAAAAAGAAATCCAATTTACTTGAGAAATTTGCTAATTGCTCGCACCTTGACCCAGAAACCCACTTAGCGTACGAACCGTGTGTTAGTTCCCGTATGCTTCGCCTAGAACTTGGCGTGTAGGGTGCAAAATACAAACGAAAATGCGGAGCGCAGAAAATAGAAAAACTTTTGAAAACTTTTCGAAAATGTGACGCTGTGTGCGCTCTCTCTAGCTCTCCGCCCTATGCTATTTTCGAAAACATTTTGTTTTCGAAATGGTGAGCGCTATGCCGCAAGCAGGCAACTGTTGTTGTTCGGCCTGTTCGAAATGTGAAAGTTCATTGTTTCATTGAGGAAAATGGTGAAAAACTTTTTGGCCGCACCGCCGCCAAATTATCTAACAGTTGCTGACGATGCTCGTTGAGAATTTTCGTCGGTTTTTTCGGCATTTTTCGAAAATCAGGGAGACTGGCACTCGGACTCGCACTCGCACTCGCACTCGCTGTCGTATATTTTTCTAAGTTCGAAATCTCTGGCGATCCGTTGCACGCCTGGCCGTGCCGTGTGTGTCTGCTCAGTGGTCTCTGCGGAGGTTTCACGTTTGAACGTCTCGTACAATATTCACGGAAAAGCGCAATGTGAAAGCCAGAGACTAGAAATAGCCACGGCGTGACGTCCCCAAACAGACTAGACACTGACAGTAGCAAACCGAAGCGAACCCAGTTCAGATCAAATCAGATCAGATCGGATCGGATCAGATCTCAGATAAGATCATTATCGCAGATCATTGATCCTGTAAAACTGTCGCGCCTGACAAATGGCCAGCCAAGTGTGAGAGAACGAACAACTGTGCAGAAAATGCTGTTAACATTCCAAAAACAAAATAAACGAAAGTGTTGAAAAGATTTTGCAAACTTAATTTTGATTTGCAACAACTAGCGATTTATTCGTTCGGCAGGTGGTTTCCTCTAGTTTCTTATACAGAAACTTTCAACCCACAGCCATTGCAGGCGCGTCTCGCGTGTGTGCGTGTGCGTGCGTGTGAGTGCGGTGTGTGTGTGTGTGTGCATTTGTGTTTGTGTGTGCTCGTTCCTCGTCAGTGCGTGTGTGTCAGTGTGTTGTGCTTAACCAAATGTTGTGCCAGCTGACATTGTGTTGGTCGTGAGGTCGTCGTCGCCGTCGTCGTCATCAAGTCCAACACACGTAACGCGACGTGGACAGCGCAAAGCGATTAAAGTTGGCCAGTTGGAAATTGGAGCGCTGCTGGAACCGGGACCGGGACCGGGACCATGCCGATCATTGCCGATGCCACCAACGATGAGCCACCAGCAAAATGTTGCAAATATTGTGAGGGTATGCCTAGAATTTATATACAATTAGTCTCTATTATATACATATATCGAAACATTATAATACATGCTGTTAGCTATGCCGCCGGCGAGTTCACTAACCCAACCACATATATCCCTGGATGCCACGAACTTTTGGTATCTATTAGCTGCGGTAATTAGCTGGGAGGCAAATCCAAACACTAGACGCTCAGACTGGGACTCTAGACGAAAGCGTTTCGATTTGATTGCATGCTTGCTTCAATTGATAGATTTATGCGTAATTTGCCTCAGCCTCTCACTCTCACCAATTCTCTCTCTGCTGTCTCTCTCACGCTCGCCCACTCTCTCTGTCTTCCTCTCGGTCGGTACTTGATTGTCTTGACTGGCATTAACTTTGTGCCCCCGAGTTTTGACTCTTAGTTTTGTTTGT